TTATTTGTTGAGTGAACACATTGTAATATACAAGTGCACCGAGAAGAGTGTGTGGTGAGAGACGGGGTCGATTCCAAGAGGAGTGATGTCGGTAGTAAAGTCTAGGAAGAGGTAGTAAATCCGAACACTTGAGGAAGCCGACACAGGGCATGCCAACACTTAGAGGGTGTATTGTGTGATTACAAGTGTGAGTGTTATAAACGTTTATCGGTAAGCATTAAAAACCGATTGTGAACGTTTTCGGTGAACGTTGAAATCCAATTGAGATAGTGGAGATTCTCCTCGAGGGTGAGGAGCGAAGACGTAGGTCGAGGGTGACCGAACTCCGTGATCATATTGTGAGTTTGTGTTTGTTATTTGGCGTACTCTTTTATTTTGCTCGTATTGCTCATATCTCATACTCTTTGTTTATATCGCCTACTATCTCATATCCTATCTCATATAACTTGTTGTATTCCATACTTGCTAGGAAAATCGTTAAATAGTTTTAATTTAGCATTAATATTGGATTAGATTAGCATATACTCTATTCACCCCCTCTAGGGTAATTTCAGAATGTCCATAAAAGCTAAACTCATCAATTCAGTTACTTCGCCTACTCCTAAGCCTGGCCTGGTTTTACGGCAGTCAACCCAATTGGAGATAATTGACTCTGATTGTATCATGTTCTCAACATTCCATATGAGGAGATATTGATTAGATACTCAATCTCTCTACTTGAGAACTTTCATAGCTTACCAGATCTGACATACATCAGATGTACCATCCTACACCTATGAGGCACTACAACATGGATCTACTAGTAGGCCAAGTAACTAACATCACAACCTCAGTCATCAAGATGGTGACTGTAGATGCTGATCTGCCGTAGGTAACCTGTATAAATACCCTTGCTACCTAAGGTAAAATAAAAGGAGATGCACATAGCCAATTGTGGTTCATGATCACGTTCTCTTCCAAAACCATAACCTAGAGTTACCTAGTGTTTTGACTTTTTATTATCAAGAGTCTAACTTAGGTATCGGATGGGCGTTTGTGGACAGCCCACCATCATCAATCTGACACTTTTTTTTATACAATTAGCCAATTAGTTAAGTGCTCGCATCAGACATCAAAGAAGACCACTAGGCTCTCATTCTTGAACCTATTCCAACGGACTCAATGTTGTAAGTTGATTCACTGCATTAACGAGTCTCCTTACGGATAGTGAAAGATCCTTCTAGATGATCGAAGCATTGCTTCCAAGGTTGTGATAGTGAAGAAGCAAACCGAAGACCATGGGAATGCTCATAACGTGTTAGCTAGTGTTGCGGTAAGTATTAAAACGACGAAGTCGGAACAACTTTGCAATCATTATAATAACATCACCAATTACGCCCACGAAAATGGTACCCATGTTTAACAGCTTAGTAGTTATCACCGAAAGTGACACAGCTTAGAGATCTTTGACTTTCACAAATTGCAGCGAGCTCAGGATACTGAAAAGTAAAGCACGACAAGGATATAATAAAAGCTTTGTCAACAGGCCGAGTAAAATGCACACTATTGAAACCCATCTCGCTTACTTTCTCATCATGAAGAAACTAAGCTGGCCCTTTCATTCTCACAAAAGCTAACTCACTCAACAAGTAGGAGATAGAAAAACCAAAATTAACTAACTCAACATATAGGAGAAAGGAAAAACTAAAATAAACTGTCTAGCTCCTAGAAAAACTAAAATTAACTAAGTCAACATATAGGAGATAGAAAAAACTAAAATAAACTATCTCCTAATCAATACTCAAAGTTGCAATAAGTAGGGAAATGGGCATTCAAGCCGGCTTACGTTTTCTTCACCAGTTCCAGGTAAATTTCACAAAACCCCTTATATGTTTGGACTTTTCACACCTAGCCCCATTAGCAACCCCATTTATTATTATTATTATTATTATTATTATTATTTATGAGAATTAAGGATGAGGCCCCACGCAGAAGACCTCAACCTGGTTTTGGTTACCCTCACATGAGAAACAAATAAAAAAAAGGGAAAATTGCTTGGGGGAACCAAATAAAATTCGGCTATGCATCTCCACCCCCAGTCCAAGAATTATTACCGGAAAACCCTTATACAGAAAAAAATGCAACAAAGCCCCCAAATAGTATTCAGAACCATAACCCAAAAAAAAATCCCCAAATTATCCTTGGCAATTTAAAACTGAAAAAGTCACATCCCCACCGTCATTTTCTGAGCAGCACTGTTACCGAAACCCCCAAACCTCCGTCAAAGAGTTTGAAACTCTCCCCCTTCCGGAACCCTCTTCCTCCGCCGCCGACGACAACGCTTCAGCCGTCTCGTTCGTCGACTTCGTGTTCGTCTTCGTCGTCACAATCGAAGACCGCTGCATCCTCGACTTCTTCGACTTCGTGCTCGTCGCCTTCTTCTTTGGCGAACCCTTTAGATCGTCATCCTCGACTTCATCCTCGACTCTTCGACTTCGTCGTCTTCGTCGAAGACCGCCGCCACGACTCGTCTTCTTCGAAACCCGCTCGTCGCCAACTTCGAAACCCTGTTCTTCTGAAATCCATCACCGCTCGTCGTATTCCTCTTCGGCGACTCTCCTTTACTTCGTCGACTCTCGTCCGCCGACAAGGACCCCCCCACCGACGACCGCAAGCTCGTCGACCGCCAGAATCTCTCATCCTCACCGAACCCCACAGTGACGCTGCTGAAAATACAGATGTCGAATTCATCATCTGAATCAGCTACAATAAAGCCTGAGATGTAAGTATCTACCCAATTGTTCACATCTGTTCATTTAATTTGTTTGGCATTGTGAATTTATACGCATTAGAACCCTAAGTTAGTTTTGGCATTGTCAATTCATCATCTCAGACAGTTGATTTAGTATCTGTTGTGTTGTCTTTTACAGTAAACATGATATAAGAATTTGTTGCAATATCCGTGGATATTGTCAATTTATGGATGGCATTGTCCCACAAATGAGGTCTGAACATTGGAGGGCTTATGGATCCTCCAATTTCAAGAACTATGTTAGTTTTGGTATGATTCCATCCGACAAGGCCACCATCATGCTGCTGTTGGATAATGTGGATTTAGCCACGGGGAAGTTTTTCTTCAATGATAGCCAAACCGAGACTAAACAAGCGTACACGTTTGATCTAAATTGGGTGCGCAAACATACTCGGTTTAATGATGAAGGAGAACCCAGAAGGCAATCGCGACATGGATAATAGGATATGACGCACTACTTCAGCCAAGGCAACAATCACAATACAAGAGTGGCCGAGGCTTACCTTGAGGCCCTAATTGGAGAAAAAAAAAAATTATTCGGTCCAAAAGAAATCCGATGTTTCGGGATTATTGTTATGCATTCAATCCTCTATCAATTGACAATGATATGGACGCCCGACGCAGCGAGAATGAATGCACGCGCGGCATAATGTTCAAATTATGTGGCTGCGAGTAGATAGCGGTGATCAATTTCCCATGGCGACAATCATCTATAAGGAATTGTGGGACTCCTTCAAGCTGTGAAGAAGCGACGAAGGGGCTGACATTCTTAAGCGGCTGCCTCCTTGCTATCGTGAGTTAACTATGATATTGAGATTTATATGTTACATTTGCACCTTATCTGTGATCATGACCCTTTATATGTGATATTGAGATTTATAAAATGTTAACATTTGCACCTTACTGTTTTATATTGCTTGTTATGTAATATTATATTTCTGTAATTAGTGTTAATGTTATCATTCTACAAGTATGATTGTGGCATACATGCGATTATTTTATCATGTCGATCCTCAGAGGAATAGGGAGATATGCAAGTTGATTTTGCGGCATGGAGTCACATATGGCTAGCGAGGCAGGACTTGCTGCTCAACTCATATGTAAGGGCGTAAAGGGAAAAAACTGCGGCTGAAATTAACAGTGATGATCAGATATTTTTTGTACTTGGGGTAAGTGATGTACTCTATGATTGAGTGGAAGTATTAGACTCTACATTAACTGTGTCATTTGTTTAAACGTGGTGATGTATAGGCTAACCAGTTTACTAGCTGTGTGTGACATTTGTTGGATTGCTGTTGATGACTTTTGGGGCTGTTACGCGATGTTTTAGTATGCCGTGTGACTTTTGAGTCTTGTATGTGTGACGTTTTAGTGTTCTGTGTGACTTTACTAGCTTGTATGTGACATTTTGTTATTTTGTGTGACATTTGAGGCCATTATGTGACATTTTAGTATTCGCTGTGACTTTTGAGTCTTGTGTGTGATGTTTTAGTGTACTGTATGCTTTTTGCTTCTTGTATGTAACATTTTGGTAGGTATGATTGACTTTTTGTATGTTGTGGTATGTTACATTTGTACAGGTCTGTAAATATTCTCCTTATCAGTTACTAGCTGTTTGTAAATTCTCACATGTAACAGCCAATAGTCACACATGACGTTTTAGTGTTCTGTGTGACTTTTGAGTCTTGTATGTGACACTTTGTTAGTTTGTGTGACATTTGGGGCCATCATGTGACGTTTTTGTATCTTCTGTGACTTTTGAGTCTTGTGTGTGACGTTTTAGTGTTCTGTTTGACTTTTGAGTCTTGTATGTGACCTTTTGTTATTTTGTGTGACATTTGAGGCCGTTATGTGACGTTTTAGTATGCTCTGTGACTCTTGAGTCTTGTGTGTGACTTTTGCTTCTTGTATGTGACACTTTTTTTATTTTGTGTGACATTTGAGGCGGTTATGTGACGTTTTAGTATGCTGTGTGACTTATTAGACTTGTATGTAACGTTTTGGTAGGTATGATTGACTTTTGGTATGTTCTTGTATGTTACAATAGTCACATGTGATATGCAAACAGGTAATACGTCACATTTTTTGTGGCAAAAGTAACACGAAGCGGTAATTTGTCACATACAAGAAACAAATGTCACAACAAAATGGCAAAAGTCACATGTAACAGACAATAGTCACAAAAGCGTTTGCATTCTGCCTGGAAACGTTAATCTTCGATAGGTTCAGTGCACGTGGCTCGGTTATGTCCTTCAGCGTGACATCTTGAGCATCTAATTGCACGTCTACTCTCAGATCTGTTGTTGATACGCCTATTCTTGTTCCTTCCACGTCTCTTTGTTGTCTTTGGGGGAAGAATGCTAATTGTTTCATCTGTGACATCTGGCTTATCGTAATTTGGAACAGGAAAGAGGATTGGTTCGTAACTTCTCCTGAAAGCTTCAGTCGTCATGAACCAATCGCAGAACTGGTACACATCTCTATGCATGAAGTTAATAGCGGCACACGCATGTTTACATGGTATTCGCAATATATCCCATGCACGACACGCTAATTGTTTCATCTGTGACATCTGGCTTATCGTAATTTGGAACAGGAAAGAGGATTGGTTCGTAACTTCTCCTGAAAGCTTCAGTCGTCATGAACCAATCGCAGAACTGGTACACATCTCTATGCATGAAGTTAATAGCAGCACACACATGTTTACATGGTATTCACAATATATCCCATGCACGACACGTGCATGTTTTGTGTTCCAAATCAACTTGTACTGATTTTTGTGATGATACCTCGAAGATTTCAGCTGTAGAATGCGATACTTCAAGAGTGCTTCCCTTGGTGACATTTTCTTGGAGGATTTTTTCCGCTTCAGGACAAAAATAGCTATTCCATTTTGTTGCCATCTCGCGACGAGTATTCATCCTTTCCATAATTTGCACACGAATGTGATCCATCATATCGCAAATGGGAAGTGTTCGCGCCACACGAATCCAACTGTTGAAAGATTCAGCGACATTGGAAGTGATATGCCCATATCTGATTGAAAACAAAAAATCATTACCACAATTTACCGCTATGTGTCACAAATAACTAACAAATGTCACAACTAACAACAAATGATCACAGATAACGGCTACTGGTCACATGTAATGGGGTATTGTCACACGATACAAGTAAAGGTCACACGTAACAGACGAACGACCCATATAAAAGCGAAATGTGACATTTAAAGGCTCAAATTCATATAACAGCATAATATAACAGTAAAGGTAATGATAATTGACGGTACCTTATACCAGGAAATACAGAATTGGCCCAATTACTAGGACCATAACTTAGAGCTACTTGGTAAGCTCTTTGATCTGTCATTCGAATCTGACGCAAAACAGCATTAAATTCTCCTTCCGTGTACTTGTATGCAGCAAACTCCAATAATTTTGAAATACGTTGAGCAGCACTTGAGGCAAAACCCATCTCTCTAAGCTTCAATTTATAATTCTCAACAAGATGAAGTACACACCTAGAGTGGTACGCATCTGGAAATATATTTTTCAAAGATTGCTTTATTCCTTTGTCGGCGTCTGACAGAATTACAAGGGGATGGGGTGGATTGTATGGTTCTGTTCGATTGTACAATATATACCGCAATCCTTGAATAAACCAACTCCAATTCGCTTCATTTTCTTGGTCACAAACGGAAAATGCGAGTGGAAATATGCCTTGATTACCATCATAAGCGGTCGCACCTAATAAGATCCCTTTGTAACGATCCTTCAGAAAAGTCCCATCTAGAAAGAGCAACGGCCTACATCCCTTGAGAAACCCCTGTATGCATGCACCATACGACACAAATAAACGTTTGAATCTCCTTTCTTCTTGTTCAATGCTGAAGACACTGCCTGGATTTGTTTCCGTCACCTTCATCTGGTACCTAAAATGATGGTTAAATCACAAATAACTTGTTAAATACTCAAACGTCACATATAAAGTCAAAATATCACATATAAGGTTTAAATATCACATGTAATACTCAAAAGTCACATAGAAAGTCCAAATATCACATACAAGATCTAACTATCACATGTAATGCTCAAACGTCACATATAAAGTCAAAATATCACATATAACGTTTAAATCTCACATGCAGATGTAGGAACAAGTTGTCACAAATAACTTTGAAATATAACGTTCACGCATCAATAAATAACGAGGACTAACCAGGATAGTAAATCATATGAATGCCTTGCGCAACCAAATATTTCATCTTTTGCTGTCTCTTTAGCACGCCAAGCTTTAGAATAATTAACTCTTAATCCATATTGAGAGTGCAATTCCTTTCTAATGTCAGTTGGGGTTATATATGGACGCCTCTTCATAATTGATTGTAGCATACTCGCAATCCACCTTCTTGATGCTCTGAAGTGACCAGCTGTGCTGTTATGTTGTCCACATGTATGTTGAGGAACAAATTTCTTTATAGCAAATGTCGACACATGGCTCAATGGTGAAGCGAAAAACAACCACGGGCAGTTTGTTTCTTCTCTAAACATGCAACTAGCACGAATACGTTTTGGCTCATTGTTAACATATTTGAAAGCGAACTTCTTAGCTATAGAGTAGTATATAAGAGCCATTCTAACTTCTTTTGCACTTTCAAATTGCTGCCCTTTTCCAGTAATTGCCTCGTGCCACCATGCTGGGATCCGTGACGAGTCACTTACTACGTCGTTCATACTGTACACATGCTCTCCTTGAGGGTTGTCATTTGGGATCCTCTCTGATTCCTCGATTGTGATACTCTCATAAGGTTGCTCAATATGCTCTGATGACTGTGAGCTTACATTAGGAACACTGCAGGTTTAATGTACAGGTCACATATAAGTCACATGTGATACTTACCAGTAAAGTCACATATAAGACTCAAATGTCACAAATAAAGACAATATATCACAAATAAGGTCCAAATGTCACGTGGTATGTCTTCAGGTCACATATATAATAGAATATGTCACGTGTATCCAGAACATGAAAATATACTTTTGAATACTTACTTAAGCTCTGTTTCTGACCCTATGGCATGGGTGGGTCCTTCATCTCTTTCAGTAACAGTCATGGTCAACGTATTTAACCCCATTGAACGATGATAACCTATCATATTGAGAATATCTTCATCTTTTGAAAGCTCAAACGAGACATTGGGAAACTTATCGATAGAGTAACTTATCATGTGTGTGACATTTGTTAGATTGCTGTTGACGACTTTTGGGGCTGTTACGCGATGTTTTAGTATGCCGTGTGACTTTTGAGTCTTGTATGTGACGTTTTAGTGTTCTGTGTGACTTTTGAATATCACGTGTGTCATTTTAGTGTACTGTGTGACTTTTGCTTCTTGTATGTGACATTTTGGTAGGTATGATTGACTTTTGGTATGTTGTGGTATGTTACATTTGTACAGGTCTGTAAATATTCAACCTATCAGTTACTAGCTGTTTGTAAATTCTTTGTGATCTGTTCTGGAAGATATTAAATCCGGACAGGTAATATGTCACGCGAACAGGTGATACGCCACATATGGCAAAAGTCACATGTAACAGACAATAGTCACATGTGACGTTTAGTGTTCTGTGTGACTTAAATTCTTTGTGATCTGTTCTGGAAGATATTAAATCCGGACTGGTAATATGTCTCGCGGACAGGTGATACGCCACATTAGGATGAAATGGACATGTAACATACAATAGTCACATGTGACGTTTTAGTGTTCTGTGTGACATTTGAGTCTTGTATGTGACACTTTGTTATTTTGTGTGACATTTGGGGCCATCATGTGACTTTTTAGTATGTTCTGTGACTTTTGAAACTTGTGTGTGACTTTATAGTGTTCTGTGTGACTTTTGAGTCTTGTATGTGACACTTTTTTATTTTGTGTGACATTTGAGGCGGTTGTGTCGTTTTAGTATGCTTTGTGACTTATTAGACTTGTATGTGACATTTTGGTAGGTATGATTGACTTTTGGTATGTTGTGGTATGTTACAATAGTCACATGTGATATGCAAACAGGTAATACGTCACATTTTTTGTGGCAAAAGTAACACGAATAGGTAATTTGTCACATACAAAAAACAAATGTCACAACAAAATGGCAAAAGTCACATGTAACAGACAATAGTCACAAAAGCGTTTGCATTCTGCCTGGAAACGTTAATCTTCGATAGGTTTAGTGCACGTGGCTCGGTTATGTCCTTCAGCGTGACATCTTGAGCATCTAATTGCACGTCTACTCTCAGATCTGTTGTTGATACGCCTATTCTTGTTCCTTCCACGTCTCTTTGTCGTCTTTGGGGGAAGAATGCTAATTGTTTCATCTGTGACATCTGGCTTATCGTAAATTGGAACAAGAAAGAGGATTGGTTCGTAACTTCTCCTGAAAGCTTCAGTCGTCATGAACCAATCGCAGAACTGGTACACATCTCTATGCATGAAGTTAATAGCGGCACACGCATGTTTACATGGTATTCGCAATATATCCCATGCACGACACGTGCATGTTTTGTGTTCCAAATCAACTTGTACTGATTTTTGTGATGATACCTCGAAGATTTCAGCTGTAGAATGCGATACTTCAAGAGTGCTTCCCTTGGTGACATTTTCTTGGAGGATTTTTTCCGCTTCAGGACAAAGATAGCTATTCCATTTTGTTGCCATCTCGCGACGAGTATTCATCCTTTCCATAATTTGCACACGAATGTGATCCATCATATCGCAAATGGGAAGTGTTCGCGCCACACGAATCCAACTGTTGAAAGATTCAGCGACATTGGAAGTGATATGCCCATATCTGATTGAAAACAAAAAATCATTACCACAATTTACCGCTATGTGTCACAAATAACTAACAAATGTCACAACTAACAACAAATGATCACAGATAACGGCTACTGGTCACATGTAATGGGGTATTGTCACACGACTGGTCACATATAATGGAGTATTGTCACACGATACAAGTAAAGGTCACACGTAACAGACGAACGACCCATATAAAAGCGAAATGTGACATTTAAAGGCTCAAATTCATATAACAGCATAATATAACAGTAAAGGTAATGATAATTGACGTACCTTATACCAAGAAATACAGAATTGGCCCAACTACTAGGACCATAACTTAGAGCTACTTGGTAAGCTCTTTGATCTGTCATTCGAATCTGACGCAAAACAACATTAAATTCTCCTTCCGTGTACTTGTATGCAGCAAACTCCAATAATTTTGAAATACGTTGAGCAGCACTTGAGGCAAAACCCATCTCTCTAAGCTTCAATTTATAATTCTCAACAAGATGAAGTACACACCTAGAGTGGTACGCATCTGGAAATATATTTTTCAAAGATTGCTTTATTCCTTTGTCGGCGTCTGACAGAATTACAAGAGGATGGGGTGGATTGTATGGTTCTGTTCGATTGTACAAAATATACCGCAATCCTTGAATAAACCAACTCCAATTCGCTTCATTTTCTTGGTCACAAACGGAAAATGCGAGTGGAAATATGCCTTGAATTACCATCATAAGCGGTCGCACCTAATAAGATCCCTTTGTAGCGATCCTTCAGAAAAGTCCCATCTAGAAAGAGCAACGGCCTACATCCCTTGAGAAACCCCTGTATGCATGCACCATACGACACAAATAAACGTTTGAATCTCCTTTCTTCTTGTTCAATGCTGAAGACACTGCCTGGATTTGTTTCCGTCACCTTCATCTGGTACCTAAAATGATGGTTAAATCACAAATAACTTGTTAAATACTCAAACGTCACATATAAAGTCAAAATATCACATATAAGGTTTAAATATCACATGTAATACTCAAAAGTCACATAGAAAGTCCAAATATCACATACAAGATCTAACTATCACATGTAATGCTCAAACGTCACATATAAAGTCAAAATATCACATATAACGTTTAAATCTCACATGCAGATGTAGGAACAAGTTGTCACAAATAACTTTGAAATATAACGTTCACGCATCAATAAATAACGAGGACTAACCAGGATAGTAAATCATATGAATGCCTTGCGCAACCAAATATTTCATCTTTTGCTGTCTCTTTAGCACGCCAAGCTTTAGAATAATTAACTCTTAATCCATATTGAGAGTGCAATTCCTTTCTAATGTCAGTTGGGGTTATATATGGACGCCTCTTCATAATTGATTGTAGCATACTCGCAATCCACCTTCTTGATGCTCTGAAGTGACCAGCTGTGCTGTTATGTTGTCCACATGTATGTTGAGGAACAAATTTCTTTATAGCAAATGTCGACACATGGCTCAATGGTGAAGCGAAAAACAACCACGGGCAGTTTGTTTCTTCTCTAAACATGCAACTAGCACGAATACGTTTTGGCTCATTGTTAACATATTTGAAAGCGAACTTCTTAGCTATAGAGTAGTATATAAGAGCCATTCTAACTTCTTTTGCACTTTCAAATTGCTGCCCTTTTCCAGTAATTGCCTCGTGCCACCATGCTGGGATCCGTGACGAGTCACTTACTACGTCGTTCATACTGTACACATGCTCTCCTTGAGGGTTGTCATTTGGGATCCTCTCTGATTCCTCGATTGTGATACTCTCATAAGGTTGCTCAATATGCTCTGATGACTGTGAGCTTACATTAGGAACACTGCAGGTTTAATGTACAGGTCACATATAAGTCACATGTGATACTTACCAGTAAAGTCACATATAAGACTCAAATGTCACAAATAAAGACAATATATCACAAATAAGGTCCAAATGTCACGTGGTATGTCTTCAGGTCACATATATAATAGAAGGGAAAATAGAATATGTCACGTGTATCCAGAACATGAAAATATACTTTTGAATACTTACTTAAGCTCTGTTTCTGTCCCTATGGCATGGGTGGGTCCTTCATCTCTTTCAGTAACAGTCATGGTCAATGTATTTAACCCCATTGAACGATGATAACCTATCATGCTGAGAATATCTTCATCTTTTGAAAGCTCAAACGAGACATTGGGAAACTTCTTGATAGAGTAACTTATCAACAAACTTTCAAACCGTACTCTAAAATTCTCTGCGGCTTTCATCTTCAATTCGGCTAAACTTGTTGCTGAATTGACTTTAATAAGGGTTGCATTACTGTTAAATGAAATCACACACATTAAAGAATCTTCCATTTTGGTTGTTGAAGAAGTTAAGAGGAAAAAGTTCAGAATATAAATGATTGTTGAAGGTTGTTGAAGATTTTAGGAGTAGATCAAAAGAGAGAAGAGTATATATGAGGAATGCAATATTTTGGAGGGAACCGTGTACATTTTCCCCTCCAATTCTACCTCTTCCCTGCATAAAACCCAAGTGCTCACTGATTTGACAACCCGTACTTCATGATGGGTTGCTTGGCTGGCGAATAAGACAAAACCCAAGTTCTTCAAATCACAGCCGCTTTCAGCGCTGTTACCCAAATCGAAAATGAGAGTAGAAAGGGCAAAATGGGTAATGCTGGAAAATACACTATAAAGTAGAGAAACACTGTTGGGTTTGGGGTGAGATAGCATTAATACTTGGGTCAAGGTGCCCCCAAGTGTTTGACTCTAGTTGGGGGGTGGGGATGCATAGCCGAATTTTATTTAGTTCCCCCAAGCAATTTTCCCTAAAAAAAAACCCCTTTGATTGCGGACATCATATTGTTTCAACAAAATATCCAAAAGATAGGTTTTGCAGTTAAAGTTATTCTGCAGGAAACCCATTAAGCTCCCCTCAAGTTTTCTGCAGGAAACCCCTTTCGACTTCCAACATTTATGGAAGATGTAGAGGGTAAATATACAGTTATGAAAGGTTTGGCAGCATATAGCCAAATTACTTCAAGGGTGCGGGTTACGAAATTTACGCTCACGTTGACTGGATCCTCCGCACACCTCGGATCGCGCCAAATCACCCGTCTTCTTACTCCACTCAAAACCGGACACGCTCGTCCCGATCCGAAGCCAACTCGTCCTCATCCACCGACACGCGCCAGTCTCCTCTGCATAACTCCTTATATTAATCTCATCCGAAAACGCTCCCTCTCCTCTCTCTCTCCAAACTCTCTCTTGAGCGATCAATCACAGATCTCTCTTCTCTCTCAACAATCAACGATGGCGAGTTCGAGGTCGAGTTCGAGCGGTCCGCAGTTGACGGATGAGCTCGATATCGTGATACCCACGATCCGAAACCTTGATTTCTTGGAGATGTGGAGGCCCTTTTTCGAGCCGTACCATCTGATCATTGTTCAGGATGGGGATCCCACGAAGACGATCAACGTCCCCGAGGGGTTCGATTACGAGCTTTACAATAGGAACGATATTAATAGGATACTGGGCCCCAAAGCGTCCTGTATCTCCTTCAAGGACTCTGCTTGCCGATGCTTTGGATATATGGTCTCCAAGAAGAAGTACATCTTCACCATTGATGACGACTGCTTTGTGAGCTTTTTGGCCCTTTCATTTTTCGGTGATTTTGGATATTTGGGTTGATGTGTTTCGATTTCAGTAGGAAGGTGGCATCTGGCGTTTTTTATTTTATATTTTAAATAGTTAGATTAGATTTTGTTATTATGACTTTTGTCATGTCATATATCTTACAATGGAGGGATTCTTCTTGATCTCTACGATTAATTAATTAACCGTGTAACATGTTCTAGCCGTGAAAAATATTGGGAAATTTCCACTGGTTTACCAATTCCACGTATTCAGTGTTCACATTCACACATTTTGTGAAGGTGTTTAAGGGCGGTTTAAACAGAACCATATGTAGCTCTTCGGCTTGATTCTTTTTGTCAAGAACTATAGTAGCTTGATATAGATGCTGTTAGCGCATAACCCAACAACTCAAGTTTTCGGATAAAAATTGTCCCTGACATGGTGCTCGACACCAGGCTTCAAGAGCTTGTAAACTGAAGTTTCATCATAGGCACAGCTCATAATTAGTCATGACCAAATAGTTTAAACTTTCACTAAGTGGTCCTCGACACCTTTTAAGTAAGTTTAAACTGCCGTGTAAAATTTGTCTTTTTTCCTTCTAGAAAGTTGTCTACGTATACGTAGTATTGTGTAGCTAGCTCGAATTTACTGTAGTAGCATTGTGTGTAAGAATTTGAGAACTACATTTCACATTAATTTACATCTAAATATTCATATATGCTATAAGGTATATCCGTATAATATTAAATATGGTGATGAAAGCACTTGGCACAGTTCATCAATTCATTGCATTACACTTCGTAGATAGTTGAGGCTTTCAGTAGGAAAAAGAATAACCGGACTAAGATTAGCTGTTGTTTGGTTCTTTATCTTGTAGACCTCTCAGAAAGAACAATGTATTCATACAATTCGCTTTAAGCATTGTTAGATCTGTATGATCGATTCGTTGCTGTTTGCTGATAAGTTTGAACAATATATCACGTCGAAAGCCATTTGTTCATCTGTTTATACGTTTAGTACAGATCTGTATTGATCATCAGTTGACCTTCTTGATGTTTTTATTGTGCGTGCACATGCTTAGAAATCATTTTAACCCTCAGTTTCTGGATTTGACAATAATAAAATAGAATGTTGTTTCAGTTATATACCTTCTTTTGAAGTTATTAGGTGAGTCCTCTTAAATTTAATCTGTTGTCAGATTACTGCGCTGTACCCATGTACATGTGATTGTATTATTAGTATAAAAAAGGAAATTATTGGGATCTTTCAATAACATTTTGGGGCACATACCATGTGAAATCACTTTGGATCGAAAAGCTAATGCGTCTTTATTTTCTCTAACAGGTTGCGAAAGATCCTTCCGGCAAAGACATTAACGCACTGGAGCAGCACATCAAGAACTTGCTTTGCCCATCCACGCCCTTCTTTTTTAACACGCTCTATGATCCCTTCAGAGAAGGTGCGGATTTTGTGCGTGGCTATCCTTTCAGCCTTCGTGAAGGTGTTCCGACTGCTGTTAGCCATGGACTTTGGCTTAACATCCCTGACTATGATGCTCCAACACAGCTTGTCAAACCTCGTGAAAGAAACACCAGGTTTCTAATTTTTTTCTTGACTGAGTTTGGACATTTTATTGTTGGCTTGTATCTGTATAATGGGATGAAGATGTTTTATTTATTTATAATTATAATTATAATTATTATTATTATTTTGTGGTAGGTATGTAGATGTGGTTCTTACCATACCGAAGGGAACGCTGTTTCCAATGTGCGGGATGAATTTGGCTTTTGATCGTGATCTTATTGGCCCTGCAATGTACTTCGGACTAATGGGTGATGGACAGCCTATTGGTCGCTACGATGATATGTGGGCTGGGTGGTGTGTTAAGGTTTGTCATTCTGCTTCCAGTTTGTTCATATTGCTCTTGGGGTGTGGACAATTACCCTCATTTTTCCCAAAATTATTCTATTTCTATACAAACTTTTCCTCCGAACCTCAAAAAATTACCTTATTCTTAACTTTGGGACAATCGTGGAGAAAGTGGGATAATTTTGAAGAATTAATTTATTAAATATCTAATATATGTTAATTGTATTATAATATATAATATATCTAAATTATATTGTATTATAAAATTATACTATAGTTTAAGATAATAAAATATTATATAATATTATCTAATATAACATTATTATATATCATTTTTACATATTAGTTAATAGTATTTTATATATTATAATATTAGTATTATATTATTATAATATTACTTCATATTATTTAATATATATTTTATTAGTTAGAATAAAAATATTATTTTAGTATTTTTATGATATAACCTATTGTATTAGTAATTAACATTTATACATTTATAATATAATATTATATATTATATATAACATAAATTTAATATGATAATATTTATTCTATTATAAAATATTTTAATTTATATAATAATTTATTATTTTCTATTACACTTGATTATATTAATTAATAGTCTTAAATATATTTTTAATATTGTGGTAGGTATAATATTAAATAATATTTTATTGCTACAATAAAAATAATAATAATGTACTATATATTAAAGTATGATATTATGTTAATATTTTATATATATAATTAATATAATATAATATATTAATTAATAATATTTTTTCAATTAATAATATTGAACATATTAATAGTATATTACGGTTACAATAAATATTATATTTTAATAAGGAGCCATGTCATCAATTACCCATTTAAATTATAGTAATTATCATAAAATATAATATTTTAAATAATATTATATGGAATAAAATAAAAATATTATAATAGTTAAATTTATATTAAATTGAATATTGTATTATTGAAATATTATAATAAATATATTGTTCATATATTATATCAATTATTTTATAATATATCATATTATTATAATATAATGTAATATATTAATTAATAACGTTGAACATAGTTACAATTAATTAATAATTATAATATAACATATTATATTTTATTATAAAGTAAAATAATGCATTACATTATAATAACATACTAAATAATATACTAAGCCAATTAGATTAATTAATTTAGGCTTAATTGATAAATAAATATTATATTTTCATAAGGTGCAATATCATCAATTATCCCACATGAATTGTCTTCAAAATGTCCCATTATCCCAACTTGTCCCACTTTACCTCACTCAAAATATATCAAAGGGATAAAATTGTTCCATTAAAATATTTATCCTAGTTGGCCCCAACTTGTCTCAACCAATAACCTCACCTTATATCATTCTTTGAAAAAGAATCATCGTATAAAACTACGGTGTTAAAAGTTTCAAAGGCATTGACTAGGAACAATTATTTCATGGTTAATCTAGTGTGTGATCACTTGACCATGTTTGTTATAGTTGTAACTTTGAGCTCATGTTTGTGCATAAAATAAAATAGCTAGCCTAGTCAACAGATCCAAAGCCACACAATTTTGCATTCAGCCCGACTGAAGGCTCATCATTACTCTTGAAATCATTACTTTTTAACTCATTGGAGTCATGCAGCTTATCTTTAATATGCTAATGATAATAATGAGGTTCTATGTTGGTACAACCTTTTGTAATTAGGTGGTCTACAAGGTGCTATTTCTACAGCCTTTTAAACCACCTCTAGTGGATCGTGATTAACACAAACTAATTTGTGATTGTTGCTTCCTGAATTTTGCTTATTCATCTTAATGTCTACAGTATGTCATCATGATTCTCTTTTACCGTTGCCAACTACATGGCTTAACCTCTATCTTATCCTGCTTTCTAATTACCTATTATTTTAGAATTATGACTTACTCAGTTACTTAGAATGGAGATTAATCAAGTCCTATTCCTACATTCTTGTAATTTTTTCCATCCGATATATTTGCATCATGCGCTTCTATGTTGAAGGGTTTCCTCCATTCATATATAATTTTTTTTTTATCTCTGCTTCTCTAGTTATTCTAGCCATTGCAATGTTGACCTCAGATCTTTGTTTCTCTGAATTTTTATATGAAATCTTTGAAATTTATCCATATACCCATATAACCGTTATAATATATTCTTATTATTTTCAATATGAGACTAATGCCTTTTAGTAGACCAAACCGACACATGAACTGAATTGGCACGACACTTTTCTAACATTTCTCTCTAACATTCCTAATATACCAACTTTTAACAATGCATTTCTTGGTTAATGAACGTAAACAGGTCATCTGTGACCACTTGGGACTAGGAGTGAAGACCGGCTTGCCATACATCTGGCACAGCAAAGCTAGCAATCCATTCGTGAACCTGAAAAAAGAGTACAAAGGCATATTCTGGCAAGAGGAGATTATCCCCTTCTTTCAGTCAGCAACTCTTTCGAAGGAGAGCACAACTGTTCAGCAATGCTATGTTGAACTCGCGAAGCAGGTGAAGGAGAAGCTCTCCAAGGTGGACCCCTACTTTGACAAGCTTGCTGATGCCATGGTCACCTGGATCGATGCTTGGGATGAGCTCAACTCTGGGGCTCCAAAAGCACCTAATGGCAAAAATGCCTAGAGGAGAATGAAGAAGAATGGAGAGCTAGTACACACAAAAGTTTCTATCGGTTTCATTATTTATGTAGGAATTTCTACTTATATGCATGTTAGGTGCTTTTAAGAATAAGCATGTTAGATGTTGGTCCTTTCCCTTTCCCTGCATTTGAAATATTTTCTTTTAGTCATCATCATCATCCTCCTCCCCTGAGCCACTTCATTTGGAGATTCAGGTTGTTTACTTTTTATTTCAGTTGGATGATTGTAATATTTATATTGATACTCTGAGCTGATAATAAAATTAGCTTTTGCTCTGTTTTCTTTTCTGCTAAGTAAGCGAGGCCATGTGAACTGTTTCCTGTAGGAGTTTTTATTTTTGGAGCTCGTTATGTTAACCACAATTTGAAGATCATACTTTTGAGGAGAAAAGAAACTTGTTGACAAGCAGGATTGGGACAGTAATTTACAGTTGTTTAATCGTGTTTCATTTACTTGCAGTTTCATCAGGACTAATATAAAGTTGAGTTTTCTGGATTGAGGATGTTTGAATGTAATATTGTGCATTTTTTGTCTCCTTAAAAAATAGGAGAAATGAGAAAAGTATAAAAATATATATCCTGCATCTTTATGGGTTGTTGATCTCTCTTATAAAAGAGAACGAAAGTTAACCTCTTTTGATTGCTGTCATATACGCATCACTCAGACTTTCATTGTTGCTCTTTTATTAATATCTTTACATTTAGCAGTATTGTTATTTTTAGATCAATGTTGAAGGATTTGTGGTATCTGGTCGGCTTCACAATCTTTTGTAGCAATACTCTTTTCTAGTTACATAATATCCAACAGAAGTACTGCAAAATCAAACCTTAGGGTGTCTTTGGCGAACTACACAAAACTAGGTCAGCACCAATCCCCAAAAAAAAAAGGAAATTGGTTTAGTGGCCAGTTTTGAGCTACAAAAAAATTGGGCCAACTCTAGCACTCTTATTTGCCAAACAAGAAACTACTTAAAATTGGGTCAAATTCAGTCCTAGCCCAATTTTACAAGGTTGCCAAAGACACCCTTCGATTCTTGAACTCGTATTGTGCATGTGCATGCAAAGCATATCGACAATGTCACTTATGTTCTAGAAGTTAAAGAATCATATGCTTGGTTGGAGTTGTAAAGCGGAAGCCAGACAGTAAGAGAGGTTTAGCACTTTTTTATTATTTATTATTTTGTTATGTATGATTTATACTACCCATTTCTGTATGGTTTGAGTGAAAAAAATGACTAAGATCACATAGGGACGAGAAGGACTACGTACCTCTGGAGTCTATAGTTTGTGCAACTGTTTACTTGTTGTATTCATCTACTATTTAAAAAAAAGGAAAAAATGTCTCTAGATCTTAAAATTCGAAGGCTCCTATAATCCTGCACTTTTGGCCCATGTGCGAAAGTCAAAACCTAAATTTTCATTTCAAAAAGTCCCTTTCAGCAGCTATCTCATTAGAGAGAGAAACTAATACGAGTCGCCGTGCGAGCACCTTTGATCGCGAAATTATTAAAGGTGGATTGAGAAGAGGATGACAAAAACACAAGAACAATTCCGTGGTGACGAAGGAAAATACCTTCTCTAGATTATGAAGAATCAATTATTACAAAGCTCTCTCTCACAATCTCGCTAGAATCGAGAACAACCTCTCAATCCTCTCTAAACCCTAATACAATGATTAGAATTTCTCTCTGATCTAGAGAACAACCTCTCAATCCTCTCTAAACCCTAATACAATGATTAGAATTTCTCTCTGATCTAAGATGATGTTTAGAAACCCTAAACAACCCTTTATATAGGTGTACAAACGTGGATGGCAATTTGGTAAATAATCAGACCAAACCCTAACAGGAATTCGTGCAAACAGAAACCCAAACGAACCAGGAAACCTTCGATGAGTCGACTCATAACTGAGATGAGTCGACTCATCCGAAACTGGACAAAACACAAAAACCAGCGATGAGTCGACTCATGACAGGCATGAGTCGACTCACGGGCTGAAAACTGGATACTTCGATTCTTCGATTCACCGTCTCATTCCATGCTTCAACCTACGTTCCACTGTGCTGTTTTACACCTCTATTCTCATGCTATCATGAGAATCATCTATTCTCAAGCTCCCATGAGGATCACTAAGTTCCGAAGAGAAGATACACCCGTATCATGGGTCCTCTCTTTCAGAACTTGAAGTCTCATCCAAGTTAGAACTTTTGCTGAGGAAACTCTCGAGGTCCTCCATCTTTTCTGCACCATCTGGCCTTGCTAGGTACCTGATATCGACGTACAACTGGAAACGACACCTTCGCTCATTGCCTTGTCGTAGCTGTCTTCCGCTCCAACGCGCAATCCTCTTTCGATGGCTTTTCTCGAAGACTAATGCACAACTAGACAAACTTCTTGCTTGCGTTCACCAATCTCTTCGCTCGTGCCGCCGTCCCCAAGATTGTCTCCCTAGAAAGAGACACCGAATGAAATATGAACTTTTCACCGCCTTTGGTGAATGTATACTTCTTAACCCGTCTCTCGTAGATCTCATATCTATCACATAAGTACAGATTGCCCAGTATAATCTGACAAATATCCAATAGAACTACATCACATGTGACATCGTCAATATACGACTCATGGAGCGCAAATCTGATGGTGTACGCAGTCTCTCCTCCTTCTGAATCCATCCCAATGGATAGGGCTTCGGATGTTTGACCATCTTCAGACTCAGCTTCTGAACCAAGGCCTCAGATATCAAATTCTTCTCGCTGCCTGGATCAACTATGGCATCAACCAAACTGGTCTTCACTTGCAACTTAATCTCGCTGCCTGGATCAACTATGGCATCAACCAAACTGGTCTTCACTTGCAACTTAAGCACAAAGAGTTACTCTCTCGGGTCTTCGTCCTCTTTCGTGGCTTATTTCTCCGCCATAAGCTTAAGACTGTTGTTGGGCTCTGTCATCCCAGGAACTTCCTTCAGACCCTGTGCTATCATGTATGCCTTTATCTCCTCCTTTCTCTTCAACCCTCTTGGCTTCAGATGAGGATACTTCTCCCAGCATCGATCAGCTACGTGTCTTGTCTTCTCGTAGTGACTGCAAATCAATTCTGCTTTTCCCGGATCACCCTTCTTCCTCTCCTCCTTAGATTGAGAACCACTAGACTTGCCTCCAACTTGTTTTGCATCTCCCTTTACTTCATTGCTCTTCTTTTGCTTGTCTTCGATGGCAATAACCTTCACGCTCGCCTCTGTAATAGATTCTACCATGAATAACTTCATCTTCTTCCGGATGTAATCGCTCAATCCTGCCATATACTTCATAAACACAGAATATTCCTCTGTCGTAATGTTGAGGACCATCGCCTGCTGCTGGGACTTCGTGGTGTATTCTTGAATGGTTTGATTGACCCTTTGGCGCAAGCCGTACCACTTATACCAACACTCCTCAAGGAATCCCACCGAGTAGAACTGTTTCCTCAGTAACTCCTTGAACTTGTTCCACGACACCGCCTTCTTCTCCTGCTTGCAGTACGATTTTCACCACGTCAATGCGTGTCCTAAAAGCTTCAAAGTCGCGAACACTATCTTCTCTTTTGACGAATAGCCATAAAGAGTAAAATATGTCTCCATCCGCTCGATCCAGTCATCAAGCCTCTCGACGTCAACACTCCCATCATAAACAGGAATCTCCACCTTGAAATCAATCTTTAGGTTCTGGTAAGAATTTTTACCCCTTGATGCAACACAGTCTTAACGGTCTCCTCCTCGTCAGGATCTGAATCCACTCTCTCCCCATCAGACTCCACAGTTTTCTTCTTGGACTTCAAAGAAGATTTACGTTGTTTGTCACCTCCATGGATAAGACTGACGAGTTATGTGAGAGTCGACCCTATCGTCTCGATCTACTTCTCCAATGCATCAATCCTCGCTAAATTGTCTCCTTCAACCATCTTCTTCTTCCTTATCTTCTGGTCCTCTTCTAAAGAAATAAGGATCTCGCCAAGCTTCTTGTATTACGATCGAGTAAGGACCATACACAGGTTCCCCCTTCACAGGATCTGATTACTATGATACCAACTTGATACGAGTCACCGTGCGAGCACCTTTGATTGCCGAATTATCAAAGGTGGGTTAAGAAGAGGATGACAGAAACACAAGAATAATTCAGTGGTGGTGAAGGAAAATACCTTCTCTAGATTATGAAGAATCAAATATTACAAATCTCTCTCTTACAATCTCGCTAGAATCGAGAACAACCTCTCAATCCTCTCTAAACCCTAATACAATGATTAGAATTTCTCTCCGATCTAAGATGATGTTTAGAAACCCTAAACAACCCTTTATATAGGTGTACAAAAGTGGATGGCAATTTGGTAAATAACCAGACCAAACCCCAATAGGAATTCGTGCAAATAGAAACCCAAATGAACCAAAAACCTTCGATGAGTCGACTCATGACTGAGATGAGTCGACTCGTCCAAAACTAGACAAAACACAAAAACTAGCGTTGAGTCGACTCATGACAGGCATGAGTCGACTCAACCTGATGAGTCGACTCATGACTGTTATGAGTCGACTCACGGGCTGAAAACTAAATACTTCGATTCTTTGATTCGCCGTCCCGTTTCACGCTTCAACCTGTGTTCTATTGTGCTATTTTACACCTCTATTCTCATGCTATCATGAGAATCATCTATCCTCAAGCTCCCATGAGGATCACTAAGTTCCGAAGAGAAGATACACCTGTATCAGAAACCATCTTTTTTTATCTCTAAGTTACCCTCACCCTGAACCTCTCATCTCTCTCTTTTTTTAACATGAACTCATGAATCGTTGTTCCTCCATATCCTTCTCCTCAAGCATTATCTCTTTGACCGCTATCTTTGTCATTGCATCCTTCTTCTCTTTCTTTTCATCCTTTTTCCAATCATTATCTTTTTCACTGTATATACCTCTTCTTTGTCATTTTCCCTCTTTTCATGACCACCTCTCCTCCTTCTCCCACAATCGTCACCACATCACTCAAAGACCATCCCATTTGGCTAAAATGATGATCTCCTATAGTCACGTTGTATAGCTAACACTCACCAAATTTGTTTTTAGCTCAAACCGGACAGAGAAGATTATCATCATGTGAGGCCTTCGAGACTTGGGCTTCAGACGAGAAGAGAAGGGCTCTGGTCCACTTACACATTGTTTTTGTTAGAGTAAGATCTTAACCATGTGCCGATGGAGATAAGTAGAGGATTTCCGTTGACTATATAATTAGGTGGAAGGAGTTGACATTACTCTTTGTAAA